CAATAATTTATACAATTTGTAGTCGATGCAGCCCCTCAGGAGACAGCAAACAAGGACTCTACCTTACTCTTGACTGACACAAGGACTGTCCTAGGTCTGTCCTCTAGGACAAAGACAAATATTTGTAACAACCAGAGTAATCAAAACTCGATAAGTTTCATTTTCTCAAGATAAACACTGCTAGGGAAAATTTGGTTTCTCTTTCCACTTTCTGTTTTGTAATCACAGGGCACATTCTCACACTAACCCAAGTGTGAGGACAGCGCAGACATTGCTACTGTGGCAGCAATAGCCACGGGCACTGGCCTTCCACATTTCTGAAGAGTAAATCAGTACCTCTAGGTATTTCAAAACAGCAATCATGTGGTTGCTTTGTGCTTCCTCCCAGCCAGTACTTTCAGTAATAAGATGTAAGCATTTCTATCCAATTCCAGTTTTGTAATGCAAATTGCAAAAAACAAAACTTAGTTTCCTGTTTCAACATTCTTGTGTCCCTTAACAGTTACTTCTATAAATTCACAGAACTATGACTAGAACTAGAACCTGTAACTCTTTTTTTTTTTTTTTAAAGATTTATTTATTTATACAAGCACTGGGTACAGTCAGAAGCGCGGGAGGTGAGAGAATTCACCAGAGCCAGAGCAGGGAGCAGAACAGACAGAGTGACAAGTACACTGCTGAGGGGAGCAGCGGGGCGGCAGGAGGGGTCTGTGCGCCATATGGGACCCTCGCCTGGCAGCCGCGGATCAAACTGGTGCTGCAGAGGCTGCGGGCAGCTTCGCAACCCAGCGCTCAACCGCTGCACCACCGTGGAGGCCCAGAACCTGTAACTCTTGAATGGATTTAAAACTAAGAGTTTTCAACTGCGATAAGCTTAGCTAATAAATAGGTAGCTTGTCAAGAAGCACAGCTTTCACATTGACTGCCCTAGGCAAAAAGATCCAAGGTATAATGTTTTTCTGCAAGACTGAATAAACTGCTTTAGCAATCTCAGTTTTCTGGAAAATAGTTACATCTTTGCTCTGTGTAACTTTGCTGGGGCCAGCCTCAGCACACTGTCGTTTCAGGGGTTTCCCTAAGGATGAGACTGCGTAGACGAATCTGAGGGATTAGTGGGAGGGGGAGTGAGGAGACACAAACACTTGATCAGGGTGCAGACATCATCCTGCTGAGGGTCTCAGCAGCCCTTTATTTATACATTGCAAGCAAACTGAGAGTACATAAGCATATGTATTAGAGTAGGAAGATAAGAATCTTCACATCTTCCTCTAGAACAGCCAGGGGTTTATTTGCCATTCAACAGAGGTCTTAACATTCTTTGTTTTGAAGAAGGCACAGTTGCTAAACACAAGTATTCTTAGAATAGTCATTTATCTTAAACCATTATTTTATTACTAGCAAAAACTTATGTGACTGAAACTAACATTTCTATGTTTATCATGGTGAATGATTAACTAAGGGCAAGGGAAGCAAAGGACAGGATGTTACCTGGGGGAAAGGAGACAAAGGGATATTTTCTAACTAACCTATAAAGTTTAGACTAACATATAACCATATGATTAAAGCAAAAAACAGAAGGCTTTTATATGGAAGTTATCATCTAATAGTATATTGTTTTAATAAGATATTGATTCAATATTAAGGAACCAAGGGCCTGGAGGGCGTCAATGCCAGACAAGCCGCACTGACTCTTCCCTAGCCCCAAGCTCTCAATTAAGGGAGGAATTCTCCTAATCTAACAAAAGAGTTTTTCTACCTATTACTCCTATACTTATTTAGTCAGCCTAGTTCCTGTATCTAACTTTAACATCAAGGGAAAATTCCTTTTTCTTGATTGTTGTTTTAAGGAACTACAAATATTTCATCAGAGGCAGGGCTGGAGATAGTTATAGCTTTTGATTTTCAGAATGGTTAATACATGATATATAAGTAGTTTAATGTTACAGGGCAGCCCCAATATAAAACGGGTTACCTGGCCAGAAAAAAACTGAAAGAATTCAAGCTAGGGATAAAACTGCTTAAGCTCATGGTTGAGGCCACGTTTGGGTCAAAAACACACCCACAAGAACCGTATGCACAGGAGAAAAAAGCAGACCTTTCAAGACGTGAAACAAATATTTCACTGCGAGTCCTGCAGACCTAGTGTGCTTATGGTGACCAACGCAAGGAAAGTTACTTTGGGCTGGTCAACCACGGGTGTAGCTTGGAAGCCACATTGGGTGCCAAACTGTTACAGGGCAGCCCCAATATAAAATGGGTTGCCTAGCTGTGGGTCCCCACCTGCAAGCTTAAAAGGGACTTATTAATACTCTCCTGCAGGCACACACAAAAAAAGGTTAATAAAAGGTTTATTTACAAGGGAAGGGGAAATGAGGAAATGTACAACTCAGGAAGAAAATAGGGAAATAAAGTCTTAAATGCTTCCTTCCCGATCCGCCAACCTGGAAACCCAATGGCACTCTGAGAGCTGGCCGAGAGCCAAGAGCTGGAGGAGAGCCCAAAGAAGACCCCCAAGGCCCACATGTCTGGTTTTATACCAAACCTGGCTGCTTAACTCCAGCCTCAGTTCCCAGCAACCTTCCCTTTGGTGGTGATGGGATTTGTCTTTCCCAATGTCCTGATGGCTTTGGTCTGGAGTGGGGGTGGAGTCCACAAAGCCTGTATGGAATTAGCTTAAGACATCCTTTTCCCCCTAACAGTAACATTGACTATTTTCAAGTGCATTATTTGTGCTGCCAAGGTTATTAGCTTAACCAGTCACAAAATTGTTGATGACTTATTCTTGAATACATACTCTAACAGCTACCATACCAACTGTCACTGAAAGGGAACTGTTAAGGAAAAGGGAACTATTAAGGAAAAGGAACTCTTTCCCTGCTAAAGAGCCATAGACATGGAAATGTAAGTAAAAGACAAGTTTGCTTCCTTAATAAGCACATCTAAACAAGGCCTGGCAGCCTGCTAGGCTGGTTGTTCTCCCAAGCCATTCTCAAAGATCTGTATCCTTCCCCTTTTCCTGTGTCAAGAATTTGTATGCTAACTAACCAATGTTATCAATGAATCATGCAGTGCCATTTGCTGTCAAATTGGTTATTCAGTAATTGATCAAACAGCATTTGCAGTTTTACTTTTAGACAAGATCGGGCGCGTTCAGGGTGGTATGGCCGTAGACTGCAGTTTTACTTTTAAATGCATATTTTAACAATGGTAGAAACTAGCCATAAACAAATGAGAAGAATCTAGCAAAAGTCAGCTAATGAGATTCCTGACTTTTCAGGAATCTGCGCCATACCTGGACCCTTGTCAGACAACATGAGTAGCATGGCTCCCAGCATCACTTCCTGACCTTAAAGTCAGGAAGCACCTGGTGCTTCCTTGGGTCTGTGGACATTATAATCCTTTTCTGATTAAAGAAAACAAAGTTTTTCTATCATAACAGACTATGGCTGCAAATTGTGATTGTGGTTGCTGAATACCTGGGGATTTTAAATGCTGTGGAGTTCAGAGAGCTGAGAATGTGTAGAAATGTTAGAAACTATTTGGTTTGGATTATGGAAGATAATGAATCCTAGAATATCAGAGGAGCTAAAGTCCTGGAAAAGGCAGGCATCAAAATTTCCCTTCTGACCTCTTTGGTTAATGATTTTAGTTATTAGTTACAGTAAAAACTAAGTTATTGTGTGCCAGGCATTTTCCTAAAGACACTTCATATATCAACCTATTTAATCCTCACAATACCATCACAAGTTGGTAACAGGAATATTCCCAATTCACAGAAGAGAAATTAAAGCGAAGAGACAAGTAGTCATTGACCTGGGCTCACAGCAGAATAAATAGACCCCGGTATCAAATGTGGATAGACTGACAACATACAGAGTCCTTGGTGCTAATCATATATTCATTCATTTGGCAACTACTTTCATAAAATAATTTTTATGGAAGAAATATTACATTATAAAATTATATAAATTTCATTATAAGCCAACCTCAGTATACAAAACGTTCCTTTCATACTAAAAGTCCAGTTTCATCCTTCACCACACAGTTGAATCCTTTTCCCTGATTTACTCGCCCTGCCCCCTTCTCCCTTTCTTGCTAATAACCATTAATTTGGTCTTATGGTTTAAAAGTTTATTTTTGTTTCATTCATCCAGAAAAGGAACTGCTAAGAAAAAGAAATCTTTCCCTGCAAAAGAGTCATAGACCTGGAAATGTAAAGTAAATAATAAGTTTGCTTCCTTCATAAGCATATCTAAACAAGGTCTGGCAGCCTACTAGGCTGATTGATCTCCCAGGCCATCCTGGAAGATCTGCATCCTTCCCTTTTCCTGTGTCAAGAATTAGTATGCTAACTAACCAACTTTATCAATGTAAAGTGGTTGTGTCTAAAAGAAACTCTTTGTCTCTAGACCAGCGCTCAGACCTTAAGGGACTACCCAAGTCTGAGACCTCATGCATGAGTAATAAAGCTTTCCTGACCTCACCATTCCTAAAGTACCGCCTGTTCTTCCCCTGCCTGGGTAAAAGGCAAGAATTTATTTCTGCAACAATCCATTTGTTTGATGTCTCTATATACCACATATAAGTGGAAATAATACAGTATTTGTCATTCTCCCTCTGACTTTTCTCACAAAGCATAATACCTCTCGGTCCATACATACCACATCTTCCTTATCCACTTTTTGAACACCTGCCATGCTCAGGTATTATTGCAAGGACATGAGATGCAGCAGTATAGACAACAGCAAACCCCTGCTCCAGGAAGGCTTCCTGGCTGCAGGACATACTGGCTATCAAGGCAGGCAGAGTGAGGGGAGGTTGACACTAAGGGAGTAAGGTGCTTTGTGAAGGTGTTCTTCTCTGGGCTCCTTGCTGTCAGTTCATCCAGAACCAGAGAAAATTCTACTAATTCATAGTTTGGTTCTTGCTCAAGATTCATTTCCCTTGGGAATGCTGCTGGTTTCACTTTCCAGTTTCAGTTTCTCTTTCCTCAAGTCAAGTGCAGAAAAAACAGTCAGAAGTAACAACGGATGTTTCCATAAATAGGCCTTTTTAGGATGTATTTGAGGTGGAGGAGGAAGATTGCTGAAGAGTCCAGGAAACTAAACTGCAGTCTTTCAGAAGAGCGTGATGATCATGAGGTAAGGAGGCTCCCTTCTTTGCTCGTATTGCCAATGACTATTCTATCTTGCCAGTCCCAAACAGTCAGGCCCCAAAGACCCTGAACTGTTCGGCGGCAGCAATGTTTGTTCATATAGCATCAATATGCTGCAGGTTGTGTATCTGTCTTCCTGGATGACATGTTTCCTCCTAATTTATTTTCAGACTCATAGTCAAGCCTCATAAGGCATCTCTCACCAGGGGAGCATGGAGCTGTGGGCAGAGTTGCTTAATCCGGCAGTTGCTTCATTTAAAGATGGGTTTGGGGAAAGTGCTCCTGTCACTCTTTTGTTCCTTATTTGAAAGGATTAAGTGAAAGATTTTAACAAAACTCTTTTTTTTCAATTGAGGTAACATAGAACTGGTAGCCTCAGTTCTATAGTCAGTTTCTAGGGTTAGTTCTTAGCTTGGTTTTCTCTGACCCTATGTTCGATTTCTCTAAATTAACGCCATCAGTGTTTGTCTTTCTCTTCTGACTTATTTTGCTTAGCAAATGACGTGAGATTATTTATTTTATTTTATTTTTATTTTTTTTTTTTTTTTTGCTAAATTCCTATGTAACAAAAGATCTCTTTTCAGTAGACATTGTGAAAGATGGACTGGGGATAGCAACCCATTTCATGTTGAGATGGATTTTGCTTGTGGCATGCTCATTCATCTGGATTTGCACTAGGACTGGTAAAACAACAGAAACATTTTTTAACGCTTAGAAAGCTAGAGTCCTTCTGTCTCAAGTATGAATGGGAGCTGGCTGGAGTCCTGGGAGAAAATAGTTCCCACCTCTAAAATCTTCTCGTATGCCAGAAACAAGCTTGCCCTGGGGAGGAAGTGTTAGCTCACTTGATAAGAAGGGAGCTTTCTGTTTTCTTCCTTTTTGTGGTGTGGGGGTTAGGGAGGGCAGCCAGACCTGATATTTAAGCTCAGTCCTGAGAACTCCTGAATCCTGAGATACCAGCTCCAGCACTTAATTCCTACAGGACACATTGCCTCCTATAAGTTTCCTGATCTCTCTTCCTGAAACAATGTTTTTTTCTGTTTGTCTGCATGTCAGTCTGATAGAAAGAAAGAAAAGACTTGAGATATTTACAGATGTCTGTTTCTGTAGTAATTCAGAATCGATAAAAAACCTTGTTCCTATATCTTAGAATATTAGCATGGTCTCGCAGGATCTTTCTCCAATAATACAGACCACTCAGTCCTTCTCATTTTCATTTATTCTTTAGGTGTACAGACGGTGACCAGGCATTGACCATGTGTGCTAAGATCGTGCTTCTCAAACTTGACTATGTACTAGATCTCCCTGGAGAACTGGCTAAAGACAGATTCCTGGGCTCAGTTGCCCACACTAGATTCTGATTTTCTAGTTCTCGCTTGGGGTTCAAGGATGTAATGGGATTTTTGGTGGTGCAATTACTACTCTGAGACACTGCGGTGCAGCTTTAGCTCTGCACCAAGAGGGCAGTCATTGTGGCTTTCACAATGGGTTAGTTTTTCACTAGGGTTAGTTCTTAGCTTGGCCTTATCTGACCCTATGTTCGATTTTTCCAAATTAACACCGTCAATATTTGTCTGATGGTGTTAGAAGCAGGGGAAGAAATTGTTCTTCCAAACTTGTCTGGGGTTCTGTTCCCATGGTTCACAGGACCCACACATAGGGGTGTGGTGACCCCAACAGTCCTAGAATAGTATGAGGTTAGAGGAACATGGAGTAACTTAGGCTAAAGGAACCTAGAGTGATTCAGGCTCTTTTTTCACCTTCCAGAGGCCTTCCAGACACTGAGCAGACTCAGCAAATTCAGCAGATAGCCCTTAACCTTGATGGTATCCTGCAAGCAAGGAAAAATGTATTAATTAGTTGTGTCGTTATGAGCACACAATTGGCCCTGAGCCTGCTTTGTTCTTTGTACAGTATAAAGGGATGAGAACTCTGCCCAGTGAGACAGTGGGTGTATGGCTACTGCCACCACCACCGCTTGTGTACCCAGCCTCCTGTTGCAACAATAAAGACATCATGTATGACCTGCCCAGGCTCCCTGACTTTTCTCCAGCTTGCTGGCATCTGGAACCTGGCCAGGTTTGGGGTCCTGGCACAACAAATAAGATGCTGGGGGCTTCTGGGACCAGACTCTGTTATTCCCATGTGTGTCCTGGTCTCTATGTGCAACATTCTGCACCACTCTTCCCAAGGGGTGAAGACTCGCTCCTGTGACCTCTCAGTTCCACATCCAGCTTGAATTTGGGTACCCAGACCTGGACCCATCAAATTGTGGGGTAAGGGAATAATATAAAAAGTGAAAGGGCACAGGAAGTAAACGAGAGGTGGCAGGTGTAATCTCCCACTTGGTCAAGCATTTTAAAAGTGATCCTCACCACATGACAGGACTTTCCAGAGATCTCTATTGGATGTCTATGTTGGAGTCCAAAATGTTTAGAATACCAATTCCTGAGAAGCAGGCTGATTAATATATACCATAAAAAAATTAAGTGGGCCCCCCCTCCCCGGTGGCACAGTGGTTGAGCGCTGGGCTGCGAAGCTGCCGCAGCCTCTGCAGTGCTGAGTCCATCCTCAGCCAGCGGTGAGGATCCCACATGGTGTGACAGGCCTCTCCTGCCACGCCTGCTGCTCCCCTCAGCAGTGTATTTTGGCAGTCTGCCTGTTCTGCTCCCTGCTCTGACTCTGGTGAATTCTCTCACCTCCTGCACTTCTGACTATACCCAGTGCTTGTATAAATAAATAAAGAAATCTTAAAAATAAATAAATAAATAAGTGAGAGAAAATGACATTTCAGGAACGCTAATACACAGGCAATGTAGTGAAACAATTTGAAGCAATGAATGATTTTAACCTGCTCATTCTAAAGCTCTTCAAGATAAGGTTTTGTCTATCTGTTTGTTGTTTCTTTTTGTGTGTTTGATTTTTTTGCTTATTTGTTTCTTGCTGTTTCATTTATTTGACCAAGACTGAAGGAAAATGAACTCTTTTCAAGAGTTAAAAGGACACCCTAATGGAAAAAGAGTATTTCCCAAAAAGGAGATACTAACATTGGCTGTGTGCCTTACTCCCTGTTGTGAAAGGAAAGCACAGGAAGGAAGAAAAGTTTCCAAAGCAAATTAGAACAATACGTGCAAAATTATTGAGATCAATTCAATGAGACATGTTAAGAACAGAAATCGCCTGCCTGAGAAGTGGGGGGAAGGGTGATTATATTTTGTTCCAAGATAAAATCTCAAGATATCGCTTATATAAAAATACTAACAAAAGATTAAGTAATACAAAAGCAGGGAAATGACTAAAAGTCAAGAATGGTTGCAATAAAATTTAAATGGTTTAAATAGAAACATTCAGGAAAATGAGAATATATCACAATAATAAAAAGACAAACAAAACTAATTAGATTATTAAAAGTTTATCTAAACAAAAAAGTCAATTAAAGATATATGAAAAGTTCAAATGATTAGATAGCAAATAGAAAATAATGAAGATTTTAAAAGACAAATAAGGAGAACAAAGGAATTGAAAATATAGTAGATAAATTAGAATTGAATTTCAGAGCGATAACCAGAAATCAAATATCAGGTTGAGGACATATTGAAATAACAGAAAACTATAAAGTTAATATTTTCAAAACATAAAATACTGAGTGAAAAAAATTTAAATATACTTACTTCTGAAAAGCTACATAAACTCAAAATATCACTGAAATCAATTTCTACAGATTTGTCGGTCCCTGCAGAGTTCCTTCCAACCAGAAAGCGGGGTCCAGTGCACCCTAATAAAACTGCTCTATTCTGAGGGAAACTTGCCTCAGGCTCAGAGATCTGCCCAATCTCCCTTGTTCTCCTGCTACCAACAATCACTCTATTGCTGCTTTGCCAGACATTTCAACATAATGCCAAAATATAAAAAGGAAAAAAAGGAAAGATTTTTCTCTCTTGATTGACAAAGATGAGAATCATCTTTGCCATGCTCTCTGGTTCTTGCTGCAGGAATTGATGCTATGTTTAAAATTGTTCATCTTCATTTTTCCTATAGTGAGACCAGGAAGAACTCCTTGGAGAGCAGTCTACAACAGTTAAAATGCCATTTCACCTGGAAGTTGGTAGAGGGAGAAAATTCCTTGGGTTATTTTGAAGACAGAGTGTGTAACCAGATTGAGTTCCAAAACACTGAGTTCAAAGCTACAATGTGCAACCTGTTGGCCTACATAAAACACTGCAAGGGCCAAACCGAAGCAGCCCTGGAATGCCTAAAGCAAGCTGAAGAGTTCATCCAACAGGAGCACACTAACCAAGCAGAACTCAGAAGTCTGGTCACCTGGGGAAACTATGCCTGGGTCTACTATCACCTGGGAAGACTCTCAGAAGCTCAGACTTATGTAGACAAGGTGAAACAAGTTTGTGAGAAGTTTTCAAATCCTTACAGTATTGAGTGTCCTGAGATGTATAGCGAGGAAGGGTGGACACGGTTAAAGTGTGGAGATAAGCAAAATGAAAGGGCAATGGTGTGTTTTGAGAAGGCTCTGGAAAGGAAACCAGAGAACCCAGAATTCACCAGTGGACTTGCAATTGCAACTTATCGTCTGGAGGACAGACGACTCCGTAAGAATCCCACTGAACCTCTGCATGAAGCCATTCGACTAAATCCCAACAACCAGTATCTTAAAGTCCTCCTGGCTCTGAAACTGCAAAGGATGAATGAAGAAGATGAAGGAGAGAGGTTAGTTGAAGAGGCCTTGGAGAATGCCCCGTGTGCAACAGATGTGATTCGCCAGGCAGCAAAGTTTTATCGAAGCAAAGGTGACCTGGACAAATCTATGGAACTGCTAGAAAAGGCTTTAGAATATATGCCTGACAATTCTCATGTTCATTTCCATATGGGATACTGCTATAGAGAAAAAGCCTTCAACATGGAAAATATGGGCATATATGAAATGTATGGAGAAAGAGAGAAGTTTCAGGAACTAATAGCACAAGCTATTTATCATTTTAAAATAGCTGAAGAGAGTAATGGAAACTATTTCTCTGTCTGCTCCATTCTTGCCACCCTCTATATAATAGCAGGTCAGTATAAAGAAGCAGAGAATTACTTTCAAAAAGAATTCAGCAAAGAACTTCATCCCATAGCCAAACAGAGGCTCTATCTGCGTTACGGCAACTTTCAGTTGTATCAAATGAAGTGTGAGCACAAGGCCATCCACCATTATATGGAGGGTGTGAAAATACACCAGCAATCCACTGAGAAAGAAAAAATGAAAACTAAACTGCAAAAAATTGCCAGGAAGAGGCTTTCTGTAAACCAAGCAGATGCCAAGGCTTTGTGCCTTTTAGAGTTCCTTCAGGAGCAGGATGGAGAAATGCAGCCAGCAGGTGACAACTCTGAGAGGGGTTGGGACTCTGGAGCCTCATCCCATTAGTGTCTTTAGCTGAGAAATGAGGCCGAGGGAGACGGCACCCACAGAGAGGTGGGAGGGAGCTGAGCCCCAACACCAAGTGAGATTCAACACATTAATAACTGGTATGGCAAATATATGGAGTAGACATTGGGCATGGGCTTTGTAAGACATTAGATCTTAATTATTCTTACCTTTAAAAAAGAAATGATAGCTATGCTATGTGATACAAAGATTATCATCACTACAGTGGCAATCATATTACAATATGTGAATGTATCAATCCACATGTCCGCCTTAAATAGACACAATGCTCTACATCACTACATTTCAATAAATACACATATACAATAACATTTTCATTAAGTAATGAAAGCAATGTCTAAAATTCAAGCATCTGAAAATTAAATTCCAACTACTGTATCACTAGTTTCCGTATTATTGTTGTATGTACTTGAGACCGTAAGTATTTATAGTATAAATTTTTGAAAAAAATATTGTAGATGTAGTTAATAAAACTCTGATGTGATGGAACATAAAGGAGTATTGTAATTTTTCTGAAATTGTGCTCTATTTAAGTCTTTCAGCACCCAATGATAAACAGTATTACAATGGGATGACATAGCTCCACTAATCCTGACTGGTCATAATCAGTGAACACAACAAAAACAGTTTCCTTTATATTCAGCTTATCCTGCACCCACCACCACTCACCCTCATGTGCACAACATCTGCCCAGCACTGACAAGAAGGCTGCTAACTTGTCTCTCACACATTAACATTTCATACATTCACCACATTCTTGTTCCTCTTCTGAACTCCATATTGAGAGATTAGGATGTATCACAGATTCTCTTTACACCCCATCCAGGAAGCAATAGGAAAGTTTTCCCAATTTACAATAGGAAAGAAAAGAAAAAGACTAGATCCTGCAGTCTCTTTTTTGTCAATTCCCTCTTGTCTCTTCAGATGAAAATAGAAGTCACTCAGATACAAAGGGAAACTCATTCCATTTGATTAAGTAGGACAATGTATGCCCCAGGAGAAGGTTGAGCTCACTTGACTGAGGTTCTTGTGACTGGATCTGCTGCCTGGGGAGGAAATCCAGAAGTGGTCTGAGTGCAAGGAAAGATGGGTAGGGCTCCTGGCCTTGAGAAAGGGCTACTTGTACTTGTGTTAAAAGCGTATATAGCCTTGCCCTTCTGTGTTCTGTCACCTAAACCCTTGCTGGAACAAATCCCTAGAAGGAAAAAGATGATGTATGGCATGTTATTCACTCACTATTTATTTGAGGCTCTAGAGACAATAAATGATTTGGAAATGATAAGGAAAATCATTTAAATGTGTGTGTTTGTGTGTGTACCTTTCACTCTCTCTGAAATCTCACTCTCCAGATATATAACAGAGGCACCACATTGACTACAATGGCTTGTAACTCCCCCGCACTTCACACATCTCCCAGGGCAGGACATTGGCCTCTCCTCACATACTCGCCAGGTGAATAACAGCTACCAGAATTTCAGTCATTTAAACAACATACATGGACTGAGTCATCACAAATAACTTGCTCTTCTGTCTTAAGTGACCTTGACCTCTACTTGAGACTGTAAATCAGTTTCATTTTCAGTTCTGTAAAGCAACTGCTCAGAGGCAGAAGGAAATGTCACCTGATGCACCACACTCACACCATCTCTATAAAGGTTGTTCAACATGAACTTGAGACTCACTAGGATGATTACCGAAGACCTACCTGCTTGGACACCAGCTATCAAAACAGCCTGGAACCAGATGGCCATCATGAGGTGGGTGAGACAGAATTGCTTAGCACGCTTAATACTGAATGCAAGTTACAAGCTGAGCTTCTGGGGTGCAGGCAAGCTCCTGTGGTGACCTGTTAAGTATGAACTAAATTTTATCAATTCAGGCAATTTTCTTCTGTACCATTTCAATATAAACAGAGAATCCCTAAACTTCTAGATCACTCAGGTTGCTGGGAGCCAGATCCAAATGAGAGAGGTTTGGCAGGAGAGCAGTTTGGCAGAACCATCCACAAATTGGATGGTTCAAGGTAGACCCAAGGAAAGTACTCTTCATGGACTTTGTAGCGGTTATTCCCTTAGTCTGAAGGGTGAAGACAGGCTTTCCTCTTGCAATTATAACAGGAATCATTTCTTTTCATTATGTATTAGTAAAGGTGGAATCGGAAAGGCTAACCCTGCTCACGTTGCGTTGAATTTATCCTGTGAAATATTTAATCATTTCCGGGTGGGGAGTTGAAAGGAACAATTACTATACATGGGCATTGTTCCATTTTAAAGCCAAAGCTTAGATTTTCTTGCTGTCATGAGAGAAAGTGAGCAGCAGGAAACAATTCTCTTCAAATCATGCTGACCTGATCTCTTTTCAAATACTAATGGGATCTCTAGCTTCAGGGAAGATCGGTTGCCTGGGGATGGTCGGGTGTCGGTTTGGGAATGACTAGGAGGGCACATGGGAAACTTTAGGATGATACAAATGGTTGATGGGGTGAGTCTGGTGGTGGCACTCAACTATTATCCATGTCTCAAAACTCAGCGAACTGTACCCTTAAACTGGGTGCATTTTATTGCATGGAAAGGACAATTTGTAAACTTCAGTTTTAAAAACACATATAGACCTGCTGGAGGTCTTTCATCAGCATGTCAGGAATGAGATACATTTCTTCTTGGAATTGATTTCTATTCTCACATTCCTGTGACCAGACAAGATACCTGACATGATTTCAGTCTTCTTTTTGTGAGCCAACATATGAACTATCCTGGAGAGTATTCCATGTGTCCTCGAGAAGAATGTGTATTGTGTTGCTATTAGCTGGGATATCTGCAAAGGTCTGTTGAGTCCATTTGGTCTAATGTACAGCTTAAGCCCAATCATTCCTACTCAGTTTTCTGTATGGGTGAACTATACATTGTTGAATTTATAGAAGTAAACTTGCCTAATAATATTTTATTGCTATGTCTTTCTTCAGGTCATTGAACATTAGTTTTATATGCTACAGTGCTCCTGTCTTGGGTGCATAAATATTTACAAAATAAAATACAAAATAAATGCGTTGTGTAGACATCAAATTCTAGTAATATTTTTTCCTTCAAGTTTTGTTTTTTGATTATTGTACTAAATTTACAAATTCTTTATCCACCAAGGCAAGAGCATTTTAGTGCAAATCTCCTGCACCTGGCTATGTTTCTTGTTGCCCCATCTCAGGACTAAATTCCAAGAGATAAACAACCATGGGCTTTCATATCTTATATGGCTCCTTCTAACCAGACTCAAACTTCTGGGGGCAGAGAAGGCAATGATAACCTTTGTTTTACTTAATATCCCTGAAAAATAAGAGAGTGTCATGAAGAGATGGTCCTGTAAAGGACCAATGGATGCCACAATGAAACTTATCTCAATAAATGAGGACTGAGAACTGATTTGCACAGAAGAAAGACCACATTTCCTTGTGTCATCCTCTCTCCTTCCATCCACCCCACCTTACCTCCTGCATATCCACACTCATAGTACATTCACCTGCTTTGTGTGTTCTTGCATAACCAGCTTAGAAAGATAAATTAAGGAAGTCAAAGGAAAGGACCTCATTTCTATCTAGTAAAACTTAAGTGTATGGAGTATTCGGGGTTGTCCAAAGGAACAAGGACAACCGAGGACCCAGAAAAGGCAACATATGGTGCTAGTCTGAGTCTGAAGGCTTAAGAACCAGGAGGGCTGATGTTATAAAACCAAATCTCAGGGAGAGGATCCATGTGCCGGCACAAGCAGCCAGTCAGAGACAGCAAACTCATCCTTCCTCTGCCTTCTGTTCTACTCAAGCCCTCAACAGGTGGGGTAATGCATATCCACCTCGGTGAGAGTTAGATACTTTATTTAATCGATGGAATTAAAGCTAATCCCATCTGGTGACACTCTGACAGCTAAGCACAGAACAAATGTTTAACTAGACTTTGGGTATCCCAAGTCCCAGGCACGATACTTGCTATGATTTCAGTCTTCTTTTTGTGACCCAACATAGGAACTATCCTGGAGAATATTCCATGTGTCCTCAAGAAGAACATGTATTGTGTTGCTGTTAGCTGGCAGTGTGACATTCAAAATTAAACTGTAATTGCATTCCTGTGCCAATGCTTGCAAATGCACATCACAGTAATGTTTATTTTCTCTACAGTGAGGACAGCAAGAGTTCTTTGGAGAAAGTACTCTCGCAGCTGAAATGCCATTTCACTTGGAACTTATTTAAGGAAAGCAGTGTGCCAAAAGATCTTGAAAGTCGAGTTTTTGACCAGATTAACACGTTAAATACTGAGTTCAAAGCTACAATGTACAACCTGTTGGCCTACATAAAACACTGCAAGGGCCAAACCAAGGCAGCCCTGGAATACCTAAAGCAAGCGGAAAAGTTCATCTAGCAAGCCCACGCTCATCAAGCAGAACTCAGAAGTCTGGTCACCTGGGGAAACTATGTCTGGGTCTACTATCACTTGGGAAGACTCTCAGAAGCTCAGACTTATGTAGACAAGGTGAAACAAGTATGTGAGAAGTTTTCAAACCCTGACAGTATTGAGTGTCCTGAGGTGTATGGCGAAGAAGGGTGGACACGGTTAAAGTGTGGAGATAAGCAATATCAAAAGGCAATAGATTGTTTTGAGAAGGCTCTGGAAATGAAACCAGAGAACCCAGAATTCACCAATGGACTTGCAATTGCCACTTATCGTCTGGATGAGAGTCTACCGTGCGAGAATCTCATTGACCGTCTGCATGAAGCCATTCGATTGAATCCTGACAACCAGTATGTTAAAGTCCTCCTGGCTCTGAAACTGCAAAGGACGAAGAAAGAAGATGAAGGAGAGAAGTTAGTTGCACAGGCCTTGGAGAATTCCTCATGTGAAACTGATGTACTTGAAAAGGCAGCAAAGTTTTATCGAAGCAAAGGTGACTGGGACAAAGCTATAGAACTGCTGGAAAAGGCTTTAGAAAACATGCCTGACAATTCCCGTCTGCACTTTCATACTGGTAGTTGCTATAGAGAAAAAGTCCTCCAAAAATTACCAGAAAAGAAGAAAATGTCTGATGAGGAAAAAAAGAAGTTTAGGAAACTAATAGAGCAAGGTGTGTCTCATTTAAAGAGATCTAATGAGATCAATGGTAATCTCTCCACTACCTGCCTCTATATTGGTGACCTCTATACTCTAGGAGATGATGTTGAACAAGCAGAATATTACTATCAAGAAGAGTTCAAGAATGCCGTTACTCCAATAGCCAAACAGAGGTTCCATCTGCAACGTGGCAACTTTCAGTTGTATCAAATGAACTGTGAACACAAGGCTATCCAGCATTATAAGGAGGGTGTGAAAATACAGGAGGAGTCAAAGGAGAAAGAAAAGATGAAAAAGAAGCTGCAAAAGATTGCCAGTAAGAGGAGCAGATGAACAGGTTTTGCTAAAATCCCTTCAGGAGCAGGATGGAGAAATGCAGCAGGCAGATGACAACTCTGAGAGGCTTGGGACTCCGGAAGCCTCATCCCATCGGCATCTTTGGCTGAGAAATGAGGACTAGGGAGACAGCACCCACAGAGAGCTGGGAGGGAGCTGAGCCCCACCACCAAGTTGAAATTTAATAGTTTAATAACTGGAACAGCAAAGATACGGACTTTTTAAAAAGAAATGAAAATTATACCATGTGGATCAAAAGCTATCATCCCTACAGTGACAATCATATTATAATATATGAATATATCAAATCCATACACACTTTAAACAAATGCATTGCTATAATATATGTTGCTATATTTCAATAAATTTACGTATACATGAACATTTTCTTTAAGCAATCAAATCAATTAAACTCAAGCATCCTCCAATTACTGTATCTCTGGTTTCCACATTAGCGTTTTGTGTACTGAGATCATCAGTTTCATGATACACATTTTTTTTTAAATGTCATAGATGTAATTAATAAAACCGATGTGATGGAACATAAATTATGTTCTGAAACATAATTATGACTGTGGCTTTTCTGAAATTATGCTGTATCTGAAGTCTTTCCCTCACCCATTGGCAAACAATATTCCAGTGGATGAACCGGCTCCACCTAAACCTGACTGGCCATAACCAGTGATCACAGCAAACATGGTTTCTTCTATATTCAGCTTGTCCCTGCACCCCCAACCCTCACCCTCATGCACACAACACCTGCCCACCACTGACATGTGGGGCTGCTGCCCTTCTCCCTCCTCTATCTTGTTAACATCCTGTACATGCATCTCTATTCCCTTTCCTCTTCTAAATTCCATTTTGAGAGATTAGGATATACCACAATTTCTGTCCCATGCAGGAGGCAATCTGGAGAGTTTCCTTAATATAGGGAAAAAGAGAAAAAGACAAGTCCAACAGGCTTTTGTTTGTCAATTCCCTCTTGTTTCTTCAAATGAAAACAAATCACCTCAGATGGAAAGAGAAACAAACTCATTCCATTTGATTGAGGGGGGACAATGTATTCCCCAAGAGAAGCTTGTGCTCACTTGACTGAGGTTCTTGTGACTGGATCTGCTGCCTGGGGAGGAAATCCAGAAGTGGTCTGAGTGGAAGGAAAGATGGATAGGGCTCCTGGCCTTGAGAAAGGGCTACTTGTACTTGTGTTAAAGGTGTATATAGTCTTGCCCTTCTGAGTTCTGTCACCTAAACCCTTGCTGGAACAAATCCCTAGAAGGAAAAAGATGATGTATGGCATGTTATTCACTCACTATTTATTTGAGGCTCTAGAGACAATAAATGATTTGGAAATGATAAGGAAAATCATTTAAATGTGTGTGTTTGTGTGTGTACCTTTCACTCTCTCTGAAATCTCACTCTCCAGATATATAACAGATGGTACCACATTGACTGCAATGGCTTGTAACTCCCCCGCTCTTCACACATCTCCCCGGGCAGGACATTGGTCTCTCCTCACATACTCATGTACTCAGGTGACTAACAAACCACAGGAGTTTCAATCATTAAAACAACATACGTGGAATGAGTCATCACAGATGACTTAAGTTTTTTTGGTTTTGCCTCTTCCTGAGATTTTAAATCAATTTCATAATCAGTCAACTTCTCATTCCTGCGTGCAACCACTCAGACAGGAGGATAGCATCAGCTGATGCACTACCCTCACACCATCTCTATAAAGTTCCTTCAACATGGACCTGACACTCACTAGGACTATTTCCAGAGAGCCTATCAGCTAGAACACCACTTATCAAAGGAGCCCAGCCGCCAACAGCCGTCATGAGGTGGGTGAGACAGAATTGCTTAATACTGAATGCAAGTTACAAGCTGAGCTTCAGGGGTGCAGGCATGCACTTGCGGTGACCTGTTAAGTATGAACTAAATTTTATCAATTCAGGCAATTTTCTTCTGTACTATTTCACTATAAACAGAGAATCCCTAAACTTCTAGATCACTCAGGTTGCTGGGAGCCACATCCAAATGAGAGAGGTTTGGCAGGAGTGGCACAAAGTGGATGGTTCAAGGTAGACCCAAGGAAAGTACTCTTCATGGACTTTGTAGCGGTTATTCCCTTAGTCTGAAGGGTGAAGACAGGCTTTCCTCTTGCAATTATAACAGGAATCATTTCTTTTCATTATGTATTAGTAAAGGTGGAATCGGAAAGGCTAACCCTGCTCACGTTGCGTTGAATTTATCCTGTGAAATATTTAATCATTTCCGGGTGGGAAGTTGGAAGGAACAATTACTATACATGGGCATTTTTCCATTTTAAAGCCAAAGCTTAGATTTTCTTGCTATCATGAGAGAAAGTGAGCAGCAGGAAACAATTCTCTTCAAATCATGCTGACCTGATCTCTTTTCAAATACTAATGGGATCTCTAGCTTCAGGGAAGATCGGTTGCCTGGGGATGGTCGGGTGTCGGTTTGGGAATGACTAGGAGGGCACATGGGAAACTTTAGGATGATACAAATGGTTGATGGGGTGAGTCTGGTGGTGGCACTCAACTATTATCCATGTCTCAAAACTCAGCGACTTGTACCCTTAAATTGGGTGCATTTTATTGCATGGAAAGGACAATTTGTAAACTTCAGTTTTAAAAACACATATAGACCTGCTGGAGGTCTTTCATCAGCATGTCAGGAATGAGATACGTTTCTTCTTGGAATTGATTTCTATTCTCACACTCCTGTGGCCAGACAAGATACCTGATATGATTTCAGTTTTCTTTTTGTGAGCCAACATATGAACTATCCTGGAAAGTATTCCATGTGTCCTCGAGAAGAATGTGTATTGTGTTGCTGTTAGCTGGGATATCTGCAAAGGTCTGTTGAGTCCGTTAGGTCTAATGTAAAGCTTAAGTCCAATCGTTCCTACTCAGTTTTCTCTAACGGGTGAACTATACATTGTTGAGTTTATAGAAGTAAACTTGCCTAATAATATTTTATTGCTATGTCTTTCTTCAGGTCATTGAACATTAGTTTTATATGCTACAGTGCTCCTGTCTTGGGTGCATAAATATTTACAAAATAAAATACAAAATAAATGTGTTGTGTAGCCATCAAATGCTAGTGATATTTTTTCCTTCAAGTTTTGTTTTTTGATTATTGTACTAAATTTACAAATTCTTTATCCACCAAGGCAAGAGCATTTTAGTGCAAATCTCCTGCACCTGGCTATGTTTCTTGTTGCCCCATCTCAGGACTAAATTCCAAGAGATAAACAACCATGGGCTCTCATGTCTTATATGGCTCCCTCTAACCAGACTCAAACTTCTGGGGGCAGAGAAGGCAGTGATAACCTTTGTTTTACTTAATATCCCTGAAAAATAAGAGAGTGTCATGAAGAGATGGTCCTGTAAAGGACCAATGGATGCCGCAATGAAACTTATCTCAATAAATGAGGACTGAGAACTGATTTGCACAGAAGAAAGACCACATTTCCTTGTGTCATCCTCTTTCCTCCCATTCACCCCACCTTACCTCCGGCATATCCACACTAATAGTACATTCACCTGCTTTGTGTGTTCTTGCACAACCAGCTTAGAAAGATAAATTAAGGAAGTCAAAGGAAAGGACCTCATTTCTATCTAGTAAAACTTAAGTGTGTGGAGTATTCGGGGTTGTCCAAAGGAACAAGGACAACCGAGGACCCAGAAAAGGCAACATATGGTGCTAGTCTGAGTCTGAAGGCTTAAGAACCAGGAGGGCTGATGTATAAAACCAAATCTCAGGGAGAAGATCCATGTGCCGGCACAAGCAGCCAGTCAGAGACAGCAAACTCATCCTTCCTCTGCCTTCTGTTCTACTCAAGCCCTCAACAGGTGGGGTAATGCATATCCACCTCGGTGAGAGTTAGATACTTTATTTAATCGATGGAATTAAAGCTAATCCCATCTGGTGACACTCTGACAGCTAAGCACAGAACAAATGTTTAACTAGACTTTGGGTATCCCAAGTCCCAGGCAAGATACTTGATATGATTTCAGTCTTCTTTTTGTGACCCAACATAGGAACTATCCTGGAGAATATTCCATGTGTCCTCAAGAAGAACATGTATTGTGTTGCTGTTAGCTGGCAGTGTGACATTCAAAATTAAACTGTAATTGCATTCCTGTGCCAATGCTTGCAAATGCACATCACAGTAATCATGTTTATTTTCTCTACAGTGAGGACAGCAAGAGTTCTTTGGAGAAAGTACTCTCGCAGCTGAAATGCCATTTCACTTGGAATTTATTTGATGAAAAAAGAATCCCAAATGATTTGGAAAGTGGGGTGCTTGACCAGATCAGCACCTTAAATACTGAGTTCAAAGCTACAATGTGCAACCTATTGGCCTACATAAAACACTGCAAGGGCCAAACCGAGACAGCCCTGGAATGCCTAAAGCAAGCGGAAAAGTTCATCCAGCAAGCCCACGCTCATCAAGCAGAACTCAGAAGTCTGGTCACCTGGGGAAACTATGCCTGGGTCTACTATCACTTGGGAAGACTCTCAGAAGCTCAGAATTATGTAGACAAGGTGAAACAAGTATGTGAGAAGTTTTCAAACCCTGACAGTATTGAGTGTCCTGAGGTGTATGGCGAGGAAGGGTGGACACGGTTAAAGTGTGGAGATAAGCAAAATCAAAAGGCAATAGATTGTTTTGAGAAGGCTCTGGAAATGAAACCAGAGAACCCAGAATTCACCAATGGGCTTGCAATTGCCACTTATCGTCTGGATGAGAGTCTACCGTGCGAGAATCTCATTGACCGTCTGCATGAAGCCATTAGATTGAATCCTGACAACCAGTATGTTAAAGTCCTCCTGGCTCTGAAACTGCAAAGGATGAATGAAGAAGATGAAGGAGAGAGGTTAGTTGAAGAGGCCTTGGAGAAAGCCCCACGGGCAACAGATGTGATTCGCCAGGCAGCTAAGTTTTATCGAAGCAAAGGGAACCTGGACAAATCTATAGAACTGCTAAAAAAGGCTTTAGAAAACATGCCTGACAATTTCCACTTGCACTTTTATATTGGTAGTTGCTATAGACAAAAAGTCCTACAGAAAGTTCCAGAAAAGAAGAAAATGTCTGATGAGGAAAAAAAGAAGTTTAGGAAACTAATAGAACAAGGTGTGTCTCATTTAAAGAGATCTAATAAGATCAATGGAAATTACCTCAATACATGCCGTTATATTGCTCACCTCTACATACAAGCAGGACAATATGAAAAAGCAGATTATTACTTTCGGGAAGAGTTCACCAAGGACCTTACTCCAAGAGCCAAACAAAGGGTCCATCTGGATTATGGCAACTTTCAGTTGCATCAAATGAACTGTGAACACGAGGCCATCCAGCATTATAAGGAGGGTGTGAAAATCCATAAGGAATCAAATGAGAGAGAAAAGATGAAAAATAACCTGCAAAATATTGCTGATAAGAGGCTTTCTGTAAACCGAGCAGATGCGAAGGCTTTGGGCCTTTTAGAATTCCTTCAGGAGCAGGTTGGAGAAACGCAGCAGACACTTGACAACTCTGAGAGGCATGGGACTCCGGAAGCCTCATCCCATCAGCATCTTTAGCTGAGAAATGAGGACTAGGGAGACAGCACCCACAGAGAGCTGGGAGGGAGCTGAGCCCCACCACCAAGTTGAAATTTAATAGTTTAATAACTGGAACAGCAAAGATACGGACTTTTTAAAAAGAAATGATAATTATGATCTTTCGAGGGGGCGGAGCAACATGGCGGCGAGGAGACGCTGCGAGTAAGATCTCCCATTAAAAAAAGTGAATAGGGAGGAAAAGCGGCAGGTCCCAGTGAGAACTGGGACACGGAAGATAAACGGGTGACGCCAGCGAACTGCCCGAAGAAGAAAGTGGCCATAAAAGAGGACTAGAAGGGAGGGAAGCGCAGAACCCTGCTCCCCTCCCCCGCCCACAGAGGCGGCACTCTCCGACCCGCAGAGAGGAGGAAACAACACACCAAAACGGCCCACAAGAACAAATGACGCAGCAAGCGGGACTGTGAGTGGAAAGGAACTATTGCAGCCACCACACCCCGTGAACGGGAGCTGAGGCGAACCCTGCAGGATCCGCCGCGGCGGTGAGCGCACGGCTCCGGGCGCCATTAGAGAAGAACAAAGACCCCGGGAGACGCACATACAGCCCGTGCCGGTAAGCTGGCGCGGGAAAGCGGCGCGCTTGGCGCGCTTGAAAAGCAAGTGCAGACCTGGATCGCGGCTGCCCAGGTCCCCGCGCCTGCGACCTAGGCTTGCGGGGAGACGACCTAGGCTTGCGGGGAGACGCACGGAGGTCCTCACTGAGGTGAAGGTCCCTCCCTGAGTGAGCAGGAACCAGGCACCCGGGCACGGGAGCTGTGCAAAAGGCGCCATTCCCGCGCCACTGAACTGGGCTACAGCCTGCGTCCTGGAACTGAGGGCTTTGAACTGAGACCCGGGGCACGAAAATTCGGGGCGTGGGTTCTCCACGACGGTGGGGCACAAGGCAGACACAGCACCCCAAAGCTGTTGAGGTGTACCCTACCATCCCCGCTCTGTTCTCTGTCCCACGGGGTGGGGGGAGGCGAAAAACAGCCCCCCAAGGACAATAGGAGAGATCTCTGGCGCCACCTAGCGACCAGGAAAAAAAAAAGTCACTAACACCCTATAAAACAGGACATTTCTTAAGACTGCTTGAAAAGGGCAGAAGGTTTCTGGAGGACCCAGTGGCCAGCCGGGAAGTTATTCCACGCCAGGCCCCTTCCGACCAGCAGTCTGAGCCCACAGAGGGAGCAGGCACCCACGTCCGGGGCAGACCGGGTGCGCAGAAGAGTGTGCCTGAAACCGGAGGCGCAGGGACTGCATCCCGCTTCGCCATTTGAGAACAGGGACATTTCTTCAGTAAAAACTGCCTAAAACCAGCAGAAAGCTCCCCCAGAAGACAGAGATGGCTCCTGGAAGAGCCAGAGGGGAGCGGAGAAGTTCACCCAAGATGTCAGTCAGTCCGAGCAACACAGTGTCCCAACGCATACGACAAATTAGAAAACAGACAGTAGGGAGTAGAAGAACCACACGCAACCTAAAAACTCCTCAGGAAAGAAGCACACCACAAAAAGAAAACCACTCCCCAGATTGCAACGACAGCAACTTGGAAGAACTTCTGAGCCTTCCAGAAAGAGAATTTAAAATTGCCATGATTAAAAAAGTGATAGATCAGAAGAAGGAAATTGAGTCCCTAAAGAGGGAAGTAAGAGAAATGCAGGAGATCAAAGAATTAATGGAGGAACTAAAGAACTCTGGGAAAAGCAATGAAAGCAGAATAGATGAAATGGAAGAACGAATAAGTAATCTTGAAGACACAGAAATAAAAAGAACCAAAACAGAAAAGGAAAGAGAAGTACGAAGGAAAAAGAATGAAGAAAGACTTCGGGAACTATCTGACTCCATGAGGAAAGGAAATATAAGAGTTATAGGAATTCCAGAAGGAGAGGAGAGAGATGTAGGAACAGAGAAAATATTCATGGATATAATTGAAGAGAACTTCCCAAATGAGAAGAAGGAGCTGAAAATTGATATACAAGAAGCAAGAAGAACACCAAACTTCCACGACAAAAGGAAAAACACAGCAAGACACATAATAGTAAAGCTCCCAAGAATCCAGGACAAGGAAAAAATAATGAAGCTGACAAGAGGGAAGAAACAGATAACATTCAAAGGAAAACCAATCAGGCTGACATCAGACTTCTCTGAAGAAACACTACGGGCAAGGAGAGAGTGGAGGGACATAGTCAACAGACTCCAAGAAAACAGATGCCAACCAAGAATACTCTATCCCGCAAAGCTCTCTTTCTCCATGAAGAAAGAATATGGACCTTCCCAGACAAAGAGAAACTCCGGAATTTCATTGCGACTAAACCCCCACTCCAAAAAATACTACAAGGAATCCTAAAGCCAGAACCTCAGAGGGACGAATAACAACGAAAGAAGACCAAAAAAAAAAAAAAAGTTATTAATAAAATCAAAGGAAAGACAAACATAATGGCAAATACAGATGCTAACATATCAATATTAACTCTAAATGTAAATGGACTAAACTCTTCAATAAAAAGACACAGAGTTGCAGCCTGGATTAAGAAACAAAACCCAACCTTTTGCTGTCTCCAGGAAACACATTTAGCTACAAAAGATAAAAATAGGCTCAAAGTCAAAGGATGGAAAACAATCCTACAAGCAAATGGGCCAAAAAAGAAAGCAGGAACAGCTATACTTATATCAGATAAAACAGACTTCAAACTCAAAAAAATAAAAAGAGACCCCAATGGTCACTACATTATGATTAAGGGGACAATACTTCAAGAAGAAATAACACTCATTAACATATACTCACCAAACGAAAGAGCACCAAAATATATCAGACAACTGTTGTCCTCTAGTGAAAACAGACATCAGAGAAAACACATATGTAGTGGGAGACTTCAACACACCACTATCAACAATGGATAGATCAACAAGACAAAAAATAAGTAAAGAAACTAAAGCTCTAAATAAGGACCTAGAGCATTTGGGCTTAACAGACATCTATAGAACACTAAACCCCAAAAAAACGGAGTACACATTTTTCTCAAGCGCACACGGATCATTCTCCAGGATCGATCACATACTGGGGCACAAGACAAACATCAACAGATACACCAAGATTGAAATCATACCAACCATCTTTTCTGACCACGAAGGCATCAAACTAGAAATAAATCATAAAAAGAAGGCAAGGAACTATCCTACCTCATGGAGATTAAAAGCCACACTACTGGAAGACCACTGGACTAACGAGGAGATCAAAGAAGAAATTAAAAAATTCTTTGAATTGAATGACAAGGAGGACACCAATATCCTAAATGTATGGGATGCAGCAAAAGCAGTAATAAGAGGAAAATATATAGCAATAGAAGCTCACATCAAAAAACAAGAAAGAACTCAAAGAAACAACCTAATCTCGAAGCTCAAAGATCTAGAAAAAGAACAACAAAAAAACCCAGAACCAGTAGAAGAAAAGAAATAATAAAAACCAAAGCAGAAATAAATGAAATTGAAACTAAAAAAACAATCCAAAAGATCAATGAAACCAAGAGCTGGTTCTTTGAAAAAATAAATAAAATAGACAAACCCCTAGCCAGGCTCACAAAGGAAAAAAGGGAGAAAGCACAAATACACAGAATCATAAATGAAAGAGGAGAAATCACAACGGACACAGCAGAAATCAAAAGAATAATCAGTAACTACTATGAACAGTTATATGGAAACAAGTTCAACAATCTAGAGGAGATGGACAAATTCCTACAACTCTACAATCACCCAAAGCTAGATAAAGAAGAAATAGAACACCTAAACAGACCAATTACAAGCAGCGAAATTGAAATGGTAATTAAAAACCTCCCCAAAAACAAAAGCCCAGGACCTGATGGATTTACAAATGAATTCTACCAAACATTCAGAGACGAATTAGTGCCTATCCTTCACAAACTCTTCCAAAAAATTGAGAAGGAAGGGACAATACCAAACACGTTCTATGAAGCCAATATTACACTAATACCAAAACCGAATAAGGACAACACAAAAAAGGAAAACTACAGGCCAATCTCCCTAATAAACACTGATGCAAAAATCCTCAATAAAATTTTAGCTATCAGAATCCAACAATGTATCCATAAGATAATTCACCACGACCAAGTTGGATTCATTCCAGGGGCACAAGGATGGTTTAACATCCGAAAATCAATCAACGTTATCCAACACATCAACAAAAAGAAATATAAAAACCATATGATAATATCAATAGATGCTGAGAAAGCTTTCGACAAAGTGCAACACCCATTCATGATAAAAGCCCTTGAAATTCTTGGATACAAACATACCTCAACATCATAAAGGCCATCTATGACAAGCCAACAGCCAGTATCATTCTCAATGGTGAAAAGCTGAAAGCAATTCCATTAAGATCTGGAACAAGACAAGGATGTCCACTCTCACCACTGCTTTTCAATATAATACTGGAAGTCCTAGCCAGAGCAATAAGACAAGAGAAAGACATCCAAGGAATCCAAATAGGAAAAGAAGAAGTCAAACTATCACTATTTGCAGATGATATGATAATATACATAGAGAACCCCAAAATCTCCACAGAAAAACTAATTCAACTCATCAATCAATTCAGTAAAGTGGCAGGATACAAAATCAACACGCAAAAGTCAGTAGCCTTCCTATACACAAACAATAAATCTGAAGAAGAAGAAATCAAAAAAACCACCCCTTTTATTATCGAAACAAAAAAAATCAAATATTTGGGAATAAATCTAACAAAAGAGGTAAAGGACCTATACAAAGAAAACTATAAAACACTGTTAAAAGAAATAGAAGAAGACACAAAGAAATGGAAAGACATCCCCTGCTCATGGATTGGAAGAATAAACATTATTAAAATGGCCATCCTACCAAAAGCAATATACAGATTCAATGCTATTCCAATCAAATCTCAATGGCATTCTTCAAAGAAATAGAACAATTATTGATGAAATTCATATGGAATCACAAAAACCCCGAATAGCCAAAGCTCTACTGAAAAAAAAAGAAGGAAATGGAGGCATCACACTCCCAGACTTCAAACTATACTACAAAGCCATAATCATCAAAACTGCATGGTATTGGAACAAGAACAGACATACAGACCAATGGAATCGAATAGAAAATCCAGAAATAAACCCACAGGTTTATGGTCAACTAATCTTTGACAAAGGAGCAAAGACTATGCATTGGAGCAAAGAAAGTTTGTTCAATAAATGGTGCTGGGAAAACTGGGTCGCTACATGCAAAAGAATGAAGCTTGACCACTACCTCACACCATACACAAAAATCAACTCAAAATGGATTAAAGAACTAGACATAAGACCTGAAACCATAAAATACATAGAAGGAAATATAGGCGAAACACTACGGGATTTGCACATCAAAGACATCTTTACAGACACATCACCCAAAGCAGTGATAGTGAAGAGAAAGATAAACAGCTGGGACTACATCAAATTAAAGAGCTTCTGCACAGCAAAAGAGACAATAACAAAAACAAAGAGAAACCCCACCAACTGGGAGAACATTTTTGCACCCAACACTAATGATAAAGGACTGATCACAAAAATCTGCAAAGAGCTGATGAGACTCAGCAACAACAAAGAAAATAATCCAGTCAAAAAATGGGCAGAAGAGCTAAAAAGAAACTTCTCTGAAGAGGAAATGCAAATGGCCAACAGACATATGAAAAAATGTTCAACATCACTTGTAATCAGGGAAATGCAAATCAAAACTACCATGAGATACCATCTCACACCAGTGAGAATGGCACATATTAAAAAAACTAGCAACAACAAATGTTGGCGAGGATGTGGAGAAAAAGGAACTCTTGTGCACTGTTGGTGGGAGTGCAAACTGGTCCAACCACTATGGAGAGCTGTGTGGAGATTTCTGGACCTACTAAACATAGAGCTTCCATATGATCCAGCAATTCCACTCCTAGGTATTTACCCAAAGGACACAGAAACATCAATTCCAAAGAGCACCTGCACTCCTATGTTTATAGCAGCACTGTTTACAATAGCTAAGCTTTGGAAACAACCCAAATGCCCAAAAATAGATGACTGGATCAAGAAGATGTGGTACATATATACCATGGAATATTACTCAGCATTCAAAAAAGATAAACACATGCAATTTGCAGCAACATGGATGGCACTGGAAGGGATCATGCTCAGCGAAATAAGCCAAAAAGAAAAAGAAAAATACCGGATGGTCTCACTCATAGCAGGAATCTAGAAAACTTAAATAAGGGACCAGGAAAATGAATATAAGAAAGTGAAAATCAAAATCAACAAAAAACTATGAACCAGAGACACTTTTTGGGGGGTGGGGGGCGGGAGGGGAAGGATTGGGGTCAGAATGGGGCGTTTGCAATTGTATGGGGGAATATAAAAATAAAATTTAATATTTAAAAAAAAAAAAAAGAAATGATAATTATACCATGTGAATCAAAAACTATCATCACTAAGGTGACAATCATATTCTTTTTTTTTTTTTTAAAGATTTATTTATTTATTTATACAAGCACTGGGTACAGTCAGAAGCGCGGGAGGGTGAGAGAATTCACCAGAGCCAGAGCGGGAGCAGAGCAGGCAGACTGACGAAGTACACTGCTGAGGGGAGCAGTGGGTGTGGCAGGAGAGGTCTGTCACGCCATGTGGGCCCCTCACCGGTGGCCGGGGATCAAACCGGCTCTGCAGAGGTTGCGGGCAGCTTCGCAGCCCAGCGCTCAACCGCTGCACCACCAGGGGAGGCCCTACAATCATATTCTAATATATGAATGTATCAAATCCATATACACTTTAAACAAATGCATTGCTATAATATATGTTGCTATGTTTCAATAAATTTACATATACATGAACATTTTCTTTAAGCAATCAAATCAATTAAACTCAAGCATCCTCCAATTACTGTATCTCTGGTTTCCACATTAGCGTTTTGTGTACTGAGATCATCAGTTTCATGGTACACATTTTTTTTTAAAATGTCATAGATGTAATTAATAAAACCGATGTGATGGAACATAAATTATGTTCTGAAACATAATTATGGCTGTGGCTTTTCTGAAATTATGCTGTATCTGAAGTCTTTCCCTCACCCATTGGCAAACAATATTCCAGTGGATGAACCGGCTCCACCTAAACCTGACTGGCCATAACCAGTGATCACAGCAAACATGGTTTCTTCTATATTCAGCTTGTCCCTGCACCCCCAACCCTCACCCTCATGCACACAACACCTGCCCACCACTGACATGTGGGGCTGCTGCCCTTCTCCCTCCTCTATCTTGTTAACATCCTGTACATGCATCTCTATTCCCTTTCCTCTTCTAAATTCCATTTTGAGAGATTAGGATATACCACAATTTCTGTCCCATGCAGGAGGCAATCTGGAGAGATTCCTCAATATAGGGAAAAAAAGAAAAAGACCCCCCAAGGCCTACATATCTGCTTTTATACCAAACCTGGCTGCTTAACTCCACCCTCAGGCCCAGCAACCCTCCCTTCAGTGATGATGGGATTTGTAGTTCTGGGTGTCTTGATGGCCTTGGTCTGGAGTGGGGGTAGAGTCTACAAAACCTGTGTGGAGTTTGCTCGGAACATCCTTTCCTGGTCACAGGATTATTCTTTCAAACATCAGAAAACAAGTATGTTAAACAAGGCACAGTTGTTAAATAAGGGAGGGTAAATAAGCAGCAATGCTTATCTGGTGGGGTAGGAAGAGAGACATGTCCTTTTATCACTGTGTTACCCATTCCCTCATGGGTAAATGCCCAGCCATACAGGCTCAAAACAGGGCTCAAATCAGGTCCACAATTCTAAGGCACCTCCTGGTGAGGAACCTTAGGAAAGGGGCAGAAGGGGCCAGATGAGTCTGGAAGAAAAAGAGCAAAATCAAAATCAAGATAAATGCTGCCATTGTTAACATTCCCATGGGCCTTTCACCCACATCTGTTTCAAATGTCTTTTTCCATGTCCCCCAAGTCCCTGGTACAAGTACAAGGCCAAGAATCAAGCACAGCTTCTTCACATGTCTCTCTGCTCCAGGTGCCTCCTCCAGGTCTCCTTCTTCTCTCCATCCTTCTTTCTTCCTTCTTCAGTCTCCTCTTCAGCTGCTCCTCCTCCCTGCTCAGTTCCACCCTCCCTTGGATGGGGCAGGGAACCTGGAATCTTGGCTTTCCCTGGGGATCCACCTGTTAGACTTGGACTCAGGCCCAGATCCCAGCCTTAAGTTTTCATTTACTGCTCTTGCTTTTAGTCAGTTTCACTTTCCATTTCTTCTCTCTAGTTGGACAAGCATCCACTCAGAAGCTTGAGGAAGAGCATCAGCTGATGCAGCTACACCCCCACCCCCACATATACCTTGCCTTTATAAAGCTCCTTCAGCATTTACTTCAGGCAGACTAGGAAGATTTCTGAAGAACAAGTCATCTTGGACACCAGCTTTTGAGAACAGCAGGGAAGCAGACTGCCATCATGAGGTCAGTGAGAAAAGAATACATAAGCATGCTTTCACCTTGAATGCAAATTGTAAGGCAGCTCCTGGGTTGCAGGCTAGTTCTTGAGTTGTCCTGTTAATTATTGTCTTAACTTGCCTCTATCTGCCTCTGTCTATTTCTATGACTTTTTCTGGAACCTTCACTTTCCTAGTCATATAGGGTTGGCTGGAAAAATGCCAAACAGATACAGGAAAGTTCTAAACTGGTGTAACAAGTTCTAAGCTACTAATACTCATCACTGAATGGTGCCTAGAGCCAGGAAATGGGGTAAAAGAGACCTGGCAGAAGGGATACCACTTTGTGATTCAAAGATCGACCCAAGGAAATGACCCTTTATGTGCTCTGTCCTTGTTTTATTTGAAAGAACAGGAGGTTTACTTCTCATAATTTTAAAAGGAAGCAATTTTTCAGCATGGATTATTAAAGATGGAATTGGTAATCAAACTTAATTCACATTGAAGGGGATTTTGCTCTGAAACATCTGATCACTTTACAGTGGGAAGTTGGAGGAAACAATTCTTATAGATGGGCATTTTTCCATTTCTTAAATGAAAACTAAAACCAAAACTTAGTTTATTTTTATTGTTCTCATGAGAGGTGATGAGCAGCAGAACATTCCTCTTCAAAACATGATGACCTGATCTCTTTTATAACACTGATGGGGTCTCCAGAAAGCAGAGCAATGGTTGCTAGGAGTGCTTGGGAGTGGGGTTGTGACTGACTAGAGAGAAAGTGTTAGGGGAAAAAGGCTGTCCCAAAGCTAATTCCATACAGGCTTTGTGGACTCCACCCCCACCCCAGTGTTAGGGGGAAAAGGCTGCCCCAAAGCAAATTCCATACAGGCTTTGTGGACTCCACCCCCACCTCAGGCCAAAGCCAAAGACACTGGGAACTCTACATCCCATCACCACCCAAGGGAAGGTGGCTGGGACCTGAGGGTGGGGTTAAGCAGCCAGGTGGATACAAAAGGCAGACATGTGGGCTTTGGGGCTCTCTCCATTTTGGGGCCCTCGGCCAGCTCGCGGCGTCCGTCTAGCTCTGAGAGTGACTTTGGGTTTCCAGGTCGTCGGATCGGGTAGGACGCATTAAAGACTTTATTTCCCTATTTTCTCCCTGAGTTGTACATTTTCCTTATTTCCTTTTCCCTTGTAAATAAACCTTTTATTAACCCTTTTGCGTGTGTCTGTAGTAGAGTATTCATAAGTCCCTTTAAAGCGCGCGGGTGAGGACCCACAGCCAGGAACCCGTTTAATATCGGGGTTGCTCTATAACAAAAGGAGCACAGGGAAAAGCTTGGGGATGATACAAATTGTCTGTAGGAGATAGGGGGTGTTTTGCCTGAACATTTGTCAAAACTCAAGAATCTGTACAATAAAATTGGGTGCATTTTAATGTACATTAAAGATAATCTTTGTAAACTTCATTATTGCATACAGACCTGTTAGAGTTCTTCCATCAGAGTCTCAGAAAAGGGAGCACAGGGAGAAAAACATGCCTTTCCCACCAAACACCTATAGGGAGAGACAGAGGGGTGAAAAGCTTAAGGAAGGGGGATCCTATTTGAAGGTTTTGGAGAGGTGTTGGTTAAACACTGGGAAAAGTTTCTCCAGAGTTCCCCTTTCAGCCCCACACAGTGAGACAGTTAAATCCAAAAGCGTAGGCTTGTTAGCAAAAGAGGGAGAAGAATAAAGGACGCTTGCACAGACACAAGTGGGCAGAAAGAGTTGCCCCTGAAAAGGGACAGGTTCGGTAAAAGAAAGTTCTGCATAGTCACAGGTGGGCAGCCTTAGGAGGAGAGCTGCCTCTGCTGCCTTGCAAAGGGAAGAGATCAGTGAAGGGGAGCACCAGCATGGTCACAGGTGGGCAGAAGGGCTGCTGCCCCTTGCCAGCGAAGAAATTGTACTGATAAAAGTCTTCTCTTTGGGAGGGGCTCATTCCTTTGTGGAGTTAACTTTTGTTAACCTAATTAGTTCTAGGGTGTGACTATGTTGATATGTAAGGACCAGTGATTCTCTATAACGCCCCTCCCCCATCTCCATATCCCCACCTCTGCTCTGCAGCTCTGTGATACTCGCTATAGTAGTCTGACACTTGCCATAGCTGTTGGCACCTAAGGATTTTTCATTTCTATAGGTGGTTTAATGACCACCTTAATCACTTCTACCCCCACCTGCAGCTTCTGGCCTTGTGAAAGTCGGTTTCTGGTCTTGTAGTGCCTCCTTTCCATATTTTCTACTCTTAACTTCCATCACTATTATCCTTCATAAAGAAAGGAAAAGAAGACCCCAGGAGTAAGGAAATGAAGCATTCTCAAATGCTTTGCAGGGTTATGTCTGGGGAGGTGGTGAGTGAAAGGAATTCACTGTCAAGTACCTCAGGTTACCCTTTTCCCTGTCGGAGTCCTGGTTGTAAGTGGTGTTAACTGTGCATAAATGAGGTTGACCAGAAATCCAGGCTCTTTCCAGTCCAAGCTTTGGTAATTTGCCTGCTGAAAGCTTTTACAATGGTCCATGCTTGAGTGTATGTCAAGTGCCACTGATATGCAAGGCCACAGACCCTTTTCTCTGGACTGTAGTCTCTGATCTATGCTGAACTAAACTCCACATGATACCTATTCCCACCAGCTGTAGGGACACAAGCACCCTGGGCTGCTCCTCCCCAGCAGTGCTAAAAATTACCAAAGAGAAATACCATCTGGGAAAATGCCTGGCAACTGCCCGCTGATGGAGGAACTCTGCCTCCCCCTTCAGATATTCAAAATTCACCTACAATATAAATAACAGTCTCTATGTGATCAGATATAAATAACAGTTTCTATGTGATCAGTAATTGGCAGTGTACTCTGTTAAGTTCTTTTTTTTGCTAAGATTTATTTATTCATGCATAGAAGAACTGGGGTACAGGCCAGAGGCGGGAGGGTGAGAGGATTCACCAGAACAGGCAAACTGACTGAAATACACTGCTGAGGGGAGGAGCGAGCGGGAAAGACCAGAGAGGTCTGCAGCACCATGTGGGATTTTCACCAGCTGGCCGAGATCCAAGTTCTTACCTGCATTCTCACCTCATCTTCACATTAATCTTAGGAAGGATTATTCATTTTTTATTCACCTCAAATTCTTTTTTTATTATTTTATTTTATATATTTTACATCATTTTTCATTTTTGTACAATGTATGCATTTTCATTTTGGTTATAGTCCCCGTGAAATTCCCAACACCCATTCACCTGTGTACCATCACCATAGTCCCTTGTGCTCTTCCCACCCCTGTTTTGATCCTGCTTCCTTCTCCCTCTTTGCAGAATGTCTCTGGCTTATAGTTGCTTATTGATTTTGATTTTTATTTTATTATGATTACTTTTTGTTTCCTGATCCCTTATTTGGATCCTCTACATTGCTCCTATAAGTGAAACCATCCGATATTTTTCTTTTTCTTTCTGGCTTATTTCTCTGAGCATAATCCCTTCTAGCTCCATCCACTTTGCTGTAAATGGAATGAGTTTATCTTTTTAGATTGCTGAGTAATATTCTATTGTGTATATATACCACATCTTCTTGATCCAGTGATCTATTTTTGGGCATTTGGGTTGTTTCCATAGCTTACCCATTGTAAATAGTGCTGCAATAAACATAGGTGTGCATCACCTCAAATTCTTGATCAGCAAAATGGGACTTAGAAGGGCAAAAGTCTAGGGCCTCCCCTGGTGGTGCAATGGTTGAGCGCTGGGCTGCGAAGCTGCCCACAGCCTCTGCAGCGCTGGTTCGATCCCCAGCCACTGGCGAGGGCCCCACATGGCGCGCAGACCTCTCCTGCCGTGCCCACTGTTCCCCTCAGGAGTGTATTTCGTCAGTCTGCCTGTTCTGTTCCCGGCTCTAGCTCTGGTGAATTCTCTCACCCTCCCAAGCTTCTGACAGTACCCAGTGCTTGCATTAAATAAATAAATAAATGAATGAATAAATAAATAAATAAATAAAAGAAGGGCAAAAGTCTTGCTCAAGTAGTCACACAAGAGCAAGCGTCAGAAATGGGTCCCTACCACTGAGGCACTGAGAACCTTCTAGCTCCATGCAAAAAGACCAAAATGGTTGCATTATGTTCACTATGCTCACGGTTTAGAGAGAAGGGAGAGGACTATTACGATAAGACTCTGAGGGCTCTGTTTGGAGAGTGAAGACCACTCTGGTGGTGACCCTCTCCTTACAGTGCCAGAGTCACAGTGTAAGTGAAGGCAAAAGTGGATATAGGAGAACTATTTCTTTAAAAAAAAAAAATTTATTCATGCATACAAGAACTGGGGTACAGGCCAGAGGTGCAGGGGTTGAGAGGATTCACCAGAGACAGAGTGGGGAACAGAACAGTAGATCAATGGAAACACAGGACTGAGGGGAGCAGGGGCAAGTCAGGAGAGGTCTGCTGTGCCATGTGGGTAGCTCCCTGGCCGGGGATCAAACTTGTGCTGCAGTGGCTGCAGTTAGCTTCATAGGTTGCATCTTAACCCCTTGCGCCTCCAGGGAGGCCCCAGAGAACTATTTCCTGAATCACATGCCTGAAACTCATTCTCCCACCCTTAGAATGGCCTGGAAAGAATTCCTTTCCTTCCTTCCCAATTAAAGGAACCCCAGGGAGAACCATTTTCCATTTCTCCACAAAAATCTTAATAGCACTCTATCAGTTTCTTTTTCTTTCTCTCTTTTTTTAAAGCACATACCTAAGAGCTAGCTAGCATCCTGGGTGGAAACCTGTTCAGCATTTTCTATTGATCCACAAGCAGAAAATAAAATCTACCTAAACCACAGCCTTTCAGAATTATAGAGAAACAGCTCACAAAGTAATTCATTCCTGTTTCTCAAATAAGAGGCTGAGAATTTCTGAGTACAATATCCCCAATTAGACTGACTCGTTCGTTGCATGCTTTCAAATCAAATATATATTTATCTAATTCAATGATAAATCGTTCCTACCAATTCATGCATTTTTATTTCTGTGACTCTTTCTCATTTACAGAGTCAGACAGTGTGAGGACCCAGAGGGAAGGGATCCCAGCTGAACTGGCAACTGGGAGCTGGGGGAGAGAAAGGAGCTTACTGGGGAGGTGGGGAGGAGGTATGCTTAAAACTTTGCAAGCAAAACCTGGTCAACAAGAGCTGGGGCCTGGAGGAAGTTGACCAGGTTCTGTTCCCTTTTTTTGTTGTTGTTTCTTATATTTGAAAAGGTTACATCAGGGCATTGTGAATTTCCCTGTGGTTATTTTGAAAGCATGCTTCCTTCTTCACAAATGTCCTCATGATTAACCCAGCATTGCAAAACTCCATTTCACAATGAGGGTTTTTCCTTGAAATTTGCCTTTTCAGATTTGGGGATAAATACTTGAATATTGTTACTTACCTGCTCGATATCCCATTTGAACTGTGAGCAGGGGAAAGAGGTGCAGAATCTCCCAAACTATGTTGCAGATACCCTCTATCACCCCCAACCTAAGTGATCTATCATTGTGAAAATTCCTGTGTCTTGCACTCTGAAATCCTGACTGAGTAGATCAGAAATAAGGTTCAGGAGAAAAATGCATATTAAAAGGGGACCAGAAATATTTCATATGTATACTAATTGTTTCCTGCATTGGATGTGTGTACATGTGAGTAGAAGAACCCCAAAGTGTGTGGAGATGTTAACATAAAGCAACGCTTGACTGTTCAAGGGATATTTTAGGGATGAGAAAGTGGCCTTGAGAAAATCACTGCCATGAAGTGAAGTCTTACCAGAGTCTTCATACTCACTGTGGTTCGATCCAACCTCACCTGAGAAGGTGTTAGAAAGGCAGCATCCCAGAACTACTGAATCCAATCTGCAGCTTTTTAAATTGAATTAACATTGCTTTATAATATTGGATAGGTTTCAGGTATGCATCATTATAAAATGACATCATGGGCCTCCCCGGTGGCGCATTTGGTTGAGTGCTGGGCTGCGAAGCTGCCCGCAGCCTCTGCAGCACCAGTTCAATCCCCGGCCACCAGTGAGTGCCCCACATAGATCGCAGACCTATCCTGCCGCGCCCGCTGCTCCCCTCAGCAGTGTATTT